GGTGCCAAGGATTTGTTCACACAAAATTCTACTGCAATAAAAATCCCAAATGCGTCCGCTGTGGTGAAAACCATCTATCCATCGTCTGTATTAAACCCTCGAGCATGCCAGCCAAGTGTGCCCTCTGCGCGGGCGATCATCCTGCCAACTACAGAGGTTGCCTATTCACAAGAAATTCCAAGCTTCACTTCAATAAAGAAAAATCTCTCAACGACAAAATAATTCAAACCTCCGTCATTTTAAACCCTACTTCAAATCAGCAACAATCTTAAGCACTTATCAAATTCTGGGCTAACCTACTGGCTTACTCATTCAAACAGAACAACAGATTTCCTTGACTTTTTCAATCATACCCTACCTAATCACACCAACTTCGAAATTGAAAATTCCTTCGGTCTCTCATCAGATCATATACTAATCTTGCTTACCCTAAACAATCAAAGTATCCATCCAAAAAAATTACCCGACTCTCAAACCTCGTAAAAAAACTGGAAACAATTCTCGGCCATCGTTGAAATCAACATTTCTTTAAAATTATCCATAAAAATTCCCACTGAGATTGACTCTGCTGTCTCGGAACTCACTAATATTATAAAAACCGGCGCCCTTGAATCATAAACCCTACTACCGACCTCTCCCAACAACAATAGTCTCCCCGATTACCTCTCTCTACTTCTCGCTGAAAAACGTCCGCCAGAAACCACTGGCACCATACTCACCTTCCTAGAGACAAAAAACGCTACAACAACCTCCCTTGCTCTCTTAAAAACTTTCCTCGCCCACACAATACAGAAACATACCAACAATATATACACTCCCTCATCAACTCAAACCACTCTATTTGGAAAGCTACTAAAAGAATTTTAAACCAAAAAAATACAATAGCATCTATTAGATATCCCGATGGATCTTTCTCCAAGACCAATTTAGAAAAATCCAAAGGATTAGCCTCTTACCTAAAAGACAATTTCACTCCCCACTAAAATAAATCATAACAAATCAACACATATAAATTTCTCTCTACGTCCAGGCATCTGCCCCCCCTCCATGACTCTTAATAATGACATGATTTACTCTAAAGAAGCAACTCGTTATCTTGGAGTCCACCTTGACAACAAACTTAATTGGGCCACTTATGAAAAATCTCTTAACCCTAAGCTCCATAAGCTTAGACATCTCATCAAATCAAATCAATTATAATTATAATTATTCGACCATCAATAATGTAAGGTATTCAGCTTTGGGGTACGACCAAAATATCAAATATAATAATATTCCAATCATTTCAGTAAATTTGATTTCGCCTCATTACAAAAGCATCCCGGTACGTCAGCTATCTATCCTACCACTCTCACCTCAAAATCACAACCATTCACACTCTTGCCGCCCACAATTATAAATTATTCCACAAAAACACTTTCAATCACTCAAATCCTATAATTTCAAACCTATCTTCTCTTACTCTTCCTTATAACCCACCTCGCCGTCTCAAACGAGATTGGCCCAGGGCTCTAATTAACATTTAATAAAAAAAACCTGCTTAGAATTTTGAAGTAAAATGACAAAATAGAAATATATATGTGGGATGGTAACACTGATGACAGCCAGGCCGGACCAAGCCGAGGGGGTGACCTATCCATCGACAGTGATGTTGTGACGGTCGACGAGTGATGGTGTCGTTGTTGTTACGTTATATTAAATTGTACTTGTTCAGTCCTCGTTGTTGTTACGTTATAATAAATTGAGTGTTCTGCCCATTAAATCTATCCGTTTCCATTATTCCATTACTATAATCCCACATTTTGGGGGCCTGTCCGGGATATTGATCGAATAACTGTAATTCCGAATAGTGTGGCCGTACGGAGAGGCGTGTGCCGAGTGTCTCGTTCGCGAGTTGTCATTTGTTCGTGCTAACGGTGCCCGGTGCGGGAGTCGCCACTTGGTACTTGCATCGTTGATCGTTGTACGATATACGTTGCTACGACGCTGCGTAAGTCGGAAAACGTGGTTTGTTAGGGCTGTTATGCATCACCTTTTACATAACCTCAAATTGCCGGTTATCAAAGGGGAACGTTATCGCACCTAACCTACAATGGTATTTGGACCAGCGGGCGTGATTGCGTGAATTGATTAAGCGTGAACTGTTATCACGGCCAATTGTTAATTGTTGTGTGTGTGAGAGCTCGTATAATGGCTTCTCGCAAGCGGAAATCAACAGCTGGGAAGCAATCGCCGAGCATCGATAGTTCCCACGTCGAGACTGGAGCCACAGGTAGTAATGCGATCAAGTTTAGCGATGTCCAAGACCATTAACGCCATTTCCTCAAAATCGTTGAGCCTCTTCGCGACCGAACAATGACCGTCGCCTGTGAATGGACCGGCTGATTCGTGTTTCTACACCTATCGTCGTTTCAATTGAAACGACTAACTGTGGACGAGGAAAGCTACAACGTTGACATTCACTCCGTACCTGATGGCACCATAGGATATGACGTTATCCTAGGTCGGCCATTATTTCAGACTAACGCCGTACTAAGGGTAAGCCCTCAGTCGGTAACTATTACTCATGCCAATGCCGCCCAGCAGCTGATGAGTATAAATACCAACGTTAGAGAGTTGGATGTAGGCGTAAGGGCTCGCTCAGCAGTAGTTCAAGAGTTGGTAGATGCAAATCGCCCAGTCCAGGGTGTTACGGCGCCAATTAAAACGGTCATTGTCCTGTCCGACGACATCCCGATATTCCAGCGGCCAAGAAGACTAGCACCGCGAGAAAAACTGGCAGTAAGCGAGTAAATTCAAGAATGGTTGTCTGAGGGAATCATCCGACCCAGTTGCTCGGAATATGGTAGTCCCGTTGTGTTGGTAAAAAAAAAAGATGAGACCCTCAGGCTCTCCATTGACTACCGTGAGTTAAACAAAAAAGTTGTACGAGATCGTTACCCGTTGCCGTTAATCGATGACCAGGTTGACCGGCTAAGAGGTGCAATGGTTTTTTCAACATTAGATTTGGGGAACGGATTTTTCCATCTCCCGGTAGATGAAGCCAGCGTAAAATATACATCGTTTGTAGTACCTGACGGTCAGTACGAGTTCCTCCGTACACCATTTGGACTATGCACATCACCACCTACGTTCCAGAGATACGTGAACTTTATTTTCCGTGATCTCATTCAGCGTGGCCATCTGTTGGCCTACATGGACGATCTGATTGTTCTGGCGGCGAATGTCGAAGAAGGACCTAACCGGATATTTCCGCCGATTCATACGTGGATATTCGCAGATTGCGCTGCCGCTGAGTAATTTACTGAAACAGGGGGTGCCATATCACATGGGACAGCCTCAGGAAGCAGCAGTGAATAGTTTGAAAGTCTCCCAGCATCGCCAGTACCACAGAACAATACAGAAGCGACACTCTGCTTGGTGGTCGATCTCTGGTGGTTTAGTGTTGAAGTTGTAAATGATTACCTGGTGGTTTAGGAGTGTTGTTACGAACGATTTTTTTTTTACAATAAACTGTTTGTTATTTGTTTGCGTTTTAATACTATAAGTTATAACCTAACCGTTCTATGCCTATATGGCTTACGGCTACCCAACAACAACTATTAACTTATAATTTCACGCATTTCACGTTCGCCATAAATTATAAATTATAATATAATTTATTATAATGTCTGTGTTATCATAATGGTATCAAGTATCAACTATCAATTATTGAAATATATGATATGAGCCGTCAGCTGATTCTCATAAATAACAAAATGGCAGTGCCCATGAGTTCAAGGCCGTGTCCCCACTTTTTTCAAATAGCATTAGGAATTGTGAGAGTGTCGTACACCTGCCAGTACTTAAGATTTACAATCCTGAAGCTAGCAACACTGAGTTGCACACAGATGCCAGTCAATTCGGCTTTGGAGCTGTTCTGCTGCAGACCGACGATAGTGATGATAATCGATTAAACCCCATCTGTTATATGAGCAAGAAAACGTCTCGAGGCCCAACAGAAATTCCATAGTTATGAACTTGAAATATTAGCGATAGTAGAGGCATTAAAGAAGTTTCGCGTTTACTTGCTGGGATTAAAATTCAAAATAGTGACTGATTGTGCCGCCTTTACCAAAACTTTAGAGAAGAGGGAACTAGCTACTAGAGTAGCCAGATGGGCGTTACTGATCAACGAATATGACTATGTAATTGAACATAGGGCCGGGTCGCGGATGCCTCATGTTGATTCTCTGAGTCGTTATCCTATGTGCATGGTACTCCACAGTGAATTCTTAGCACGACTGAAGATTGCTCAACAAAATGATCCCCATATACAGCAACTCACCATAGATGATCAAACTTTCACCAAAATTGGTGGGCTAGTATATGAGATTCGGAACGGCCAAAATTTACTGGTGGTCCCAGGCAGGATGCAGAATGAAGTTATAAGGGACGCACACAACATTGGTCACTTTGGTATAATAAAGACTGAAGCCCTGATTCAACGTGATTACTCCATTAGCGACCTGAAGAATAAAATTGGTAAGATAGTGAATAACTGCGTCACTTGTATTTTGGCTAACTGTAAGCAAGGCAAGAAGGAGGGTTTCCTGCACAGTATAGATAAAGGTGACACACTGTTAGCTATGTGGCATATAGACTTTCTTGGCCCACCGACACCAACACCGAAGGGATACAGACACATTCTGGCTGTAATCGATGGGTTTACCAAGTTTTGCTGGTTATTCCCTACCAAAAGTGTAACGGCTCAAGAGGTCATTGAGAAATTGACAGTGATGGAGGCTACCTTTGGCAACCCCGGGAAAATAGTATCCGATAGAGGAACTGCATTCACTTCTAAAGACTTTGATGACTATTGCAGAGTTACACTATTATAGAGATTCGCCACATTCTCATAACAACAGGCGTACCAAGGGCCAATGGTCAAGTTGAGAGACTGAATACCATCATTATAAATGTACTGAAAAAGTTAAGTCTCAATAAGACCGAAAGTTCAGATGGCATTAAATGGGTCATATCAGCGCTCCATAGGCATGACTCCGTTCAAATTGGTTTTTGGGGTAGAAATGAATCACCCAGAGTACCAGTCAATCAAAGAAGCAGTGGAGCTTGAGTATGTCAGGTGTCACGAGGAAGGTCAAGAAGAAAACCGGCAGTATACAAAGAAGCAGATACAAAAGGCGCAGATTCAACAGCAGCGCACGTTTAACAAATCCAGGAAGGAAGCCACAAGCTATCGCCTAGGGGATCTGGTCGCCATCAAAAGGACTCAATTCCTACCCACATCAAAGCTGTGCAAGAAGTTCTTAGGACCTTATCAGATTGTAGGACGTGAAGGTAATGAGCGTTATAAGGTACTCAAAGTGGGAACACAAGAAGGTCCCGAGCGAAGCTACTCCTGTGCAGAATACATGAAACCGTGGCGTTCCGTCGACCAGGATGAATCTGAGGAGACAAGCGGAGAAGATACCGCCTCCGAGGCAGACACTGTTCAAGGCGGGAGAGTGTGGGATGGTAACACTGATGACAGCCAGGCCGGACCAAGCCGAGGGGGTGACCTATCCATCGACAGTGATGTTGTGACGGTCGACGAGTGATGGTGTCGTTGTTGTTACGTTATATTAAATTGTACTTGTTCAGTCCTCGTTGTTGTTACGTTATAATAAATTGAGTGTTCTGCCCATTAAATCTATCCGTTTCCATTATTCCATTACTATAATCCCACATATATATTTTACATACAAAGGTACGTACCATTCTACCATTCATGGTATTACCATTCTGCACATCAAATAAAACCCATACAGAAATAAGGCTTTCTCATTAGTTCACAATTTGGAGCGATAAGATATTTAAATATTTTGAATAAAATAATATTAGTTAATACAAAAAGTTTTTTTTATTTCTATTATTATATTTACAAGCAAATTTTTGGAAAAAAACAATTGTAAATAGGTTTTACTTCATACACATCTAATCATAATACAAATTAATTTGATAATTGATTATAATAATTATAATAACAATAAGGTAAAATATGAATTATAATTATTATCATATATACATGAGATTTTTCAGTAAGTATACAATCTGTTTTGTCTTTAAGCAAATTTAGTTTATTATTCTATTATTAATTATTACCATTCAGTTATTAAATTAATTATAAATTTTAGTTACCTACTACCATACCTACTCAAATAAAATTATAGTTATAATTATTTCTATGAGGTTCATACTAAAAATAAATAAATAAGGTTATAATAATGGGGGGTATCCACTATTTATGCATAAACAAATTTTCATTTTTTAAGAATATAATTAAATTATTTATTTGGAAATATAATTAGGTACCTAACTACCTAACATATTAATAAATCATTTTTATTTTTAATTCCATCAATAAGCACTTAGGACGAGGGAAGAATGAACAGTTGCAAATAATAATAACAGTAATAAACACTTTTAATAGTTTCATGAGATTTTGCATTTGGTACACAATCAGTTACATTTTTGGGTTTCTTTTTTTTGGTTACTATGTTCTGTTAAAGCAGGTCGACCTACAATATGTTATATTTTGAAAATTTTATCAAGAATAGCCGACAACCATATAGGAATTGATAAAATAATTTATATGGTAAATTGTGTGTCTATGGATTAAAAAAAATTGTTCAAATGTCATTGTAATGTATTAAGAGCCTTGAATAAAATGTTCAAGCTTTTTTACAAAACAAATACAATTTTATTGACATTCATAGACAATTTAAAAACAAGAATAAAAAAAATACGGCCGATGGGTAAACCCGTAAGTACGCCACAGCATATAGTGCATAGTACAATTGAGTGTTCCAAAAATTAATTTCAAAATGAATATTTCTATTTGTAGATTGTAAAAAAATGAATAACTCAGTGGTTTTTCGTTCATAGTGTGTGGACTGAATTACTTATATGACAAAAAAAACAAAATGCACATTTTTTGTACATAATCTTACAAATGATAATAACATCATGAGATTGATAACTATAGTGATAACTAAATGTGTATGGGTTTTATTTGATGTGCAGAATGGTAACATGGGGCCAGAACCATGGAGAAGATAGAGGGGAGCGTGTGTGAGTTCACCTCACCGGTAGGTATTGTCGACTTGGACCCACGGGACAAAAGCTGCTATCGCACACACACGGAAACAATATTATTTAAATAACTGCAGCTTAATGTATACAAATTAATATGTAACACTGGTCACTCAACTCTAGTTGTCACAAATAAACTAATGGGCTGACAAACTGTCAACACTCAAAATCATTTTCGAATAAATACAATGATTTTATATTGTTGAATTCAAATTTAACATGTCATCCAATACAGTGACCGCTTGCCAACCATTTTTATTTATTATTTTTTATAAACTATCTCATAATGTTTAAAACAAATTATGAAAAATTAAAATTGTATCAGCAAATTTAATATTATACTATGATGTAAATTTAATTCATACCCTATTTGAAATGATCGACTATCATTTTTATGGTCTATTTCTTCATTAATTTCTTCTTTGACAATTCCATTCAATACTTGATTATCAATATATTCCTGTTTAATAACAGGAATATCATCACATCTTATTAATGGGATTGACAACATACTAGACCTATGTATTATATCATGATACCTAAAAAATTTATATTTTATCAGTATGTACTACCTAATAGGTTACTTAAGTATAAATTAGATACATTGCACAAATTTAATAATAAATACATAAATTGACAAAACAGCTAGTTTTAATATGTAGGTTAAAAATTAATTTATTAATGACACACTAATTACAATGGTTTTGCTCACTTTGAATTAATCCCGCAATCATCAGTAGTTATTCTTAATGGTTCCATATTATGTCCTCTCTATTGTTTGTTTTCAATTAAATACTGTGAACATGAACCATAACAACATTAGGTACCTTATATATCAAACCTTTCAGTTGGTACGACCAACTTGTAAGAAGTGTTTGTAGTGTGTCCATTTGCACATATTCTTTTTCTAAAACTTTTCATTTAGACTGCCATAAATAAAAAGAAAACACTGATATGTATTTAAAATTGAATACCGAGTCGGTATTTAGTGTTTTTTATATTTTTTAAATACATTATAACACTATAAATAGTAAAGTATTTTAGTAATACTCAAATACTTTTCAGAATCATTTAAAATATTCTTCAAATACAAAAAAAAATTGTTTTACTTTTTAGTTCTGAAATAATTTGTTATTTTATTTTCTTCTATATCTATATATATAAAAATGAATGTATGTGTGTGTGTCTCCATTTTACCATGGCAACCATATATATATTATTTTGAGATTTCCGCCGGTGTGTCGTGTGTGTCCATATTTCGATGGTTACCAGTTATATATTATTTTGTAATTTTCGATGGAATGTTTTGTATATAAATGGTTGCCATGGTGATATGTAAAACACATTATTCATATAGAGTTGGCAATTTTAATGGGCAACGAAGTGCACGGGATCAGATATTTCTATATATACATATATATAGATAGATTAGACCTCTGGGTAGAAGATAGGCTAATATAAAAATTGAGAGGACCAACCAGGTACTCAAACAGGGATTTTGATATTTCATATGGACATTTTTGTTTATAAATGGTTGCCATGAGTTTTGAAGCTATTATAATAATATTTATTGGTTGCCGGGTAACGAAGTACATGGGATCATTTGTAACAGAGATAGGTTAGCTCTCTGGGCAAAAGATAGGCTAATTTAAAAGGGGAGTAGACCAACTACCGGGACGTGCTCAAACAGGGATTTTAAGATTTCCGATGAAAATGTTTGTTTATAAATGGTTGCCGTGGGTTTCAAAGCTATAATAATAATAATTATTGGTTGCCATTGGTTTAAAATTGTTGTAATGGTAACAGTTATATTTTATAAAAAACATATTATTCATATAGAGTCGGTATTTTAAATGGGAAACGAAGTGCACGGAATCAGCTAGTATTTTATAAATATATGCCAAACAAATTTTTACATAGGTATAAACAAAAATAACAATTTATACATAATTGGTTATAACAGGAAGGTATGCAAAGGTTAGGTAATAATTAAAATGGACTAAAAAACATGTTTGATTAAGGCCAAAGATCAATATTATTTTCGAAAAGTTAGACATTAAAGGAGGGAGGAGGAATTGCTCATGTGATCTGGTCTGAACACTTGGTACATGTAAACTAATGCGCTCCAGGAGTCTGGATGCATCCACCCTACCATGAAGCAAGTTGAACAATAATAGTTGGTCAGCTCTTTCTCGTTTATTTTCAAGAAAACAGAGTTTTAATTTAATTCTGAGGTGCCGAGTTGAATTCAGTGGAATGACTTAGAATAAATCCTAAAACCTTTAAAGCCTTACAGGAAATATAATATATATATAAGATCTAAAGGATAAAGTCGGTGTGTATATAGATCCAAGATCTTTAGTCTCTTGAATCCACTTTAGAGGTTTCCCGTTTATAGAATAATAAATTGTAATCGATGTTCTAGATCTATAGAAGGACATGACTTTACATTTGTCTTCGTTTTACACCAGATTATAAAACTATCTAATGATGCCAGAAGGACATAGCAATCATTTGTTGAAATATCCTAGGAAAGAGCTTAGCATCATCAGCAAAAAGCAAAACACGACAAGGGAGAGTATTCAGAAAAACTGTATTAATAAAAATGTTAAATAATAAGGGGGATAAATGCTCACCTTGGGGAACCCCGGATGTTACTCTGAACATTTTGGATGTGACACAAAATAAATCGACAAATTGCCATCAATGGGTTAAGTAAGTGTAGAACCAGGATAAGAGGGGTTCTCCAATACCTAATTTATCAAGAATGTAACTAAGGTTGCAATGATCAACCTAGTCAAATGCCTTAGAAAAGTCAGTAAAAATAGTGTCAACTTGGGTTGATTCATTAAAAGCATCACGAACAAATGAAGAGAAAACTAATGAGCTGGTTATAGTGGAGCGACCGGGCAAAAAGCCATGTTGGTCAATAGATAGTGTAGGTAATAGAATTCTTTCAATTCTTTTAAGATCCAATTGTTCAAATATCTTCCCAATAAAAGGGAGGTTAGATACGGGTCTGTAGTTAGTGACTAGTAAGGGTTGCCAGACTTTAATATAGGAGTTATTCTACTAGTTTTCCAAACAGATGGAAATTTACTTTCCATTAATGATTTATTAAAAATGGAACAAATAGGAGAGCAAAGAATCTTCCTACAATTATAGAGAAAGAAGGAAGAGATACAGTCTGGTCCTAAGCCACGGACTTAAATAAGAAGTCCAATGTTTCAGCTACTTCATCATTCGAGAAGTATAATTGTGATGGTAAAAAAGGGAACTCATCGATTTTCATGTCATTAATGGCAGTGTTGGGGAATGTCGAGGGACTTTTATAAATAGAGAAAAAGAAGAGGCGAATAAATCAGCAAATTGCTTACCATAAGCTGTTTGGTCATTGAAGTAAACTTTATCTGAAATGGAGAGTGTGGTACGTTTGCTGTTTATGAAAGACCAGAATTCAGAAGGT